ATCAAAAGGCGAAGGTTGAACGTAACCAAATAATTCCATAAAATCCCCGAGAAGCCAAATATCAGAAGGCAGTTAATGGACCAAATCGAGATATATTTGCTGGCGATCTCATGGCATCGAAAGGATACTGAGATCGTTCCAGGATGCAAGCTTGGTTACAGAACGTAACCGAATTCGCGCGAAGTCACAATCAAAAGTGTAAGTATAAGAATGGAAGCAAAATATAGCTGTCATTAGCACAGTCAAACAAAAGCAAATTAAAACAAGCACTGGTACAGTTGGTTATAATAATAATTGTTTTTATTAAACCAGTCGTGTTCTCGTGATAAATGTGAGTCACTACAAAATAATGCAAATGAATTAAGAAGTGAGACACAAGGACAAACGAATGCATTGTATTTGGAATTCGAAATCGAGCATTCAACAAGTACAAAGGTATCATTAGTTTATTCAAACACCACATCCGCCACAGCTTAAATAGAAGTATAAGTGTTTGTAATCGGTTGTACGTCTTCTTGTTAAGTTCATCCTGAGCCTGTCCGACATTGTATTGGATAGAAACTTTGTAGTATCTAGAAAGTGCTCATTAGTATTGGAATTAACAAACGAAATCGGAACAGACTCACCTGGAATTGTATACAATCAGCATGTTGGTTTTGTAATGAAATCATTAATATCTAGAATTCGAACCATAGATTTTTCAACACTATCCTCCCCCACGAAATAATGTTGGATCTTTAAATCCCCAAGTTATGAATAATGTGGCTTCATTTAAAACATATTTTTCACATTGTTTAGAGTAAACATTAGAACTGTTTTTGTGATAAGGGTAAACAGCAGTTGATATGAAATCATCTGAAATGTAATCAAACTCGAGGTCACTTAGTACTCGTGCTTCGCATTGAACAAGTTTCCCACAAGAAACAAATGAATTGTGGGGACAAATTATATTTGGTGTGACATCAAGACTTGACTTTTCTGAATCAGTTTCCTCGGACTTATTAAGAATGTCACTGCAGAGTAAAGGATCATCAGAAAAATCAGCATCTATCAGAACTACATCAGGTTTTCGACCATAATTGTTTATTCAAAATATTTTCTTCAGATTTGTAAGAAATTTCATCAGAAGTATGTGAATCATTAGGAAAAGCCATATTTGGTACAATAACATCAGAAATCTGATAAATCGATTGGTCAGAAACTGTTGTCTCGCAAGAATTCTGAGTTTCATTTAACTCTGAACTGCTACGTGACTCTACACTGTCTTATGCAATCGTTGATAAAGATAAATCATCATTATAAATACTCGACTTAGTAGAATCAGAATTACAAGACCTAATGTTAGTCGCAATAAAATGAACATTAGTATTACAGAATGACTGAATATGTCCAATACCACCACATTTAAAGCACTGAGAATTACGAAATTTACATGAATTCAGAGAGAGCCACAGGACAAACACTGACTAAACTTGTGCCCATCTTCGTGAAATGCATTGCAACTCCTCAATGAATTGTCCGAATAATCTTGAGTATGAACTGGGTTGGGATGACGTAGTAATGTAGTGGAATTTTTTATATCTTCATGAATCATTTTACGAGATATTCCTCCTTTACCGTATTCGAAATTTGTATACTGAACATAGTCTAGCAGCAGTTCCTTGAGAGCTGTATAAGGGAGCGAAATGGGCTTTTCCGGCATAGCCAGAGTTATTAATAAGCTGTATGCTTCTTTTCCAATGAATGTGAGGAAGTGCGCCACAATATTACCATCCTCATCATCTTCCTTGGTCATAGCCTAGATTTCGAACCTTTCAAAGTAATCTTCAAAAGCTTCAGGAGTTGAATGAATATCTAACTTTTCCATTACAGGCTCCATCGCGACGCCAGTATAATTTTTTGAATTAATTGAATTATAGCACGGACTAAGAGTCCCAGAATTAACGCAATTGAATTAAGAAGTAAGACACAAGTACAAGCGGATGTATTGTATTTGGAATTCGAAATCGAGCATTCAACAAGTACAAAGGTATCATTAGTCCATTCAAACACCACAATATACCATTAATGTTTGGCGATCATCCATTTCGGTATGTCATAAGATCGTAATATATGTCTTGATTCTCCAACTATATGTGATGCATAAAAGATTTTACTGATGTTGATCAGTACACACACTTAAGAAACTATATCCTGCTTCACTCAAAGATAATATTTAATTTTGTGTCACGTTCGTTACCTATAAACTCGGTGGCTGAGGACAAATGAGTCGAGTAAGGATGGAATTCAGGTGTTCCTGAATACACATTTAGTTTATTGACTTCATGTGATAGTTAAAAGATTTAAATTATTGTACGTACTAGGAATCATTAAAGCAACGCTATTAAGTCAGAAATTTCTATATGAGCACGAACGGACGTATTGTATTTAGAATTCTAACCACTCAGTACTCAAGTACAAAGAAATCATTAGTTCATACAAACACTACAGTTCACTAGGGTATACAGTAATAATAAACGAACAAAGTATAATAGGATTGAGTGAACACAACTGGACTGGAATAATGGCGGTATTGTAATAATACAACAGTAAGACTTTGTGATTGAATTGAATTTATATTGTAACTGTTAAATTTAATCACTTATCTTTGTATTGTATTGAAGCATACTTAGCAAAGTGTTAGACTGGTCTAATCCGTAGTGTTATGAGAGCAATTCGAACTGTTCAGTGTCGTTTAGCCAGCATGTCTCAAAATTTATTTATTAATATAATGGTGGAATGTAACTAACGGATGAATGGATGGATAGACAGGTGACTAAGTAAAAATGTACTGAGAGGGTTCACGTATAAGTCATTGGAATTCATCAGGCAACTCAACAAAGTTTGAACCAAACCATATATATTCTCATAAGCCTTCCTCTGAATTTTTTCAAATTTCCCATAATACTTCTGAATCGAATGCCTCTGAAGTGACATCTCATAATGATTTCAAGTCAAATACTTTCAAGAAGAAATACTCTCATAAGATTTGAAAGTCTCATGCATTTTGTCCTAATGGTATTTCGATACCGAAGTTCACTGTTTCCTCTGAAATACCAACCGTAACTCACGTAAATTGTCTTTGACAAATGCATCCAGCTGTATTCCAGAACAAAGTGGGTTGCCGTAAGTTCACTAAAGTATTTTTGCCATTAAAACAAAACTCAAAGCCCGTCTTCAAATAAAAACGACCAATTTCTTATGGTGCTCTCTCGTTTGTCCGTCAAGAACTTGACAGACTGTAAACACTAAGTGTCAATCAGTCAGCAAATTATTCACCGTGAGCTACTGTCGTAGCAGTTGTATGGTATGGAAAACGGTCTGTTGCGGGGCATCGAGTCGCGGTTGACTACGATCACCACTACAAGAAGACTACGTGCCAGTTAACCGATAAGATCCATCGTAAGCCAAATATCAGAAGGCAGTTGATGGCTGTAGTCGAGATGTATTTGTTGGTGATCTCGTGGTATCGAAAGGATATCGAGATCGTGCCGGGTTACATGTGTGGTTACTGAGTGTAACCGAATTTGCGCAAGGTTACAATCAATGGAAGAATGTATGTTCTTAGTACAGTTAAACAAACATGTACAGCAAAATAATCACTGGTACGATTGGTTATAATAATAATTGTTTCCATTAAACCAATAGCGTTCTCTTGATAAAAGTAGGTCACTACAGGTCTGTCGATATATCTGGTTTAGGTGCAAAAATTCTTTTAGTTCATGTTTAGTGCTATAGTGAGATATCAGTGGGAACTTCATTTCAAAAGCTTTGGAAAAAGAATTTAGAATTGGCAACTACATAAGGGAGGATCAGACAAAACTGATTGCCATCAAAAAGAAAAAGTCTATTATTACACATAGGCTTTAAGACTGGATGAATTGTCTCATTATATCGTGATTGATTCATCATTTCGCAAGTGTAGAAATATCCATTTGAAAGAATAGTTAAAGCGACCAATTGTGTGCTTGAATCACCTTAGCATCAATTAGCAACAAATGCTCTGAATATTTTTTCTGATTTTATTACTCTGTAACCTGAATCTTGACAGAGTTGTTTATCATTCTTCTAATTGGTTAATAACTGACTTTGTATTTTGTTTACATTATATAATCGCTCTCATATTTTTAATCATCCCTTCGTAACCATATGACACTTTGTTTAACCAAAATATAGACTTCATATGGACATCACTTGACGGACGTATGTGTTATCAGATTGTTCTACGTTATAGATCCTAAACACCTTTAACAACACTTGGTGTATCTATAAAAATAATTTTCCAAATTCATAAACAGAACTTGATATGGCTTAATGTTGGTACTGATCTACTTAGTCAAGTTATGTATCATGATCAGTTTGTCTTCAAGAAAACTCAGATTTCATCACCGTACTTATCCTTTTGTCAGTCATTCTTGAAATGTGATCACGTTAGTCTAGAGGACTTGTGAAAACAGGTTTTGTGTTGACTGTTAACTATTGATGACTTTTGGAATAACGCTTTCCTGAATATAACAAACTTCTTCAGGGTTCTGAGTTCCAGTAAAGCAATTCATCGTTAGCATCTTTTCTATTATGCGGTCGTTTGACTCCAATATCCCATACTTAAATCGTTTGAATGAACGTATGATTGAATCATTCTGTCGATATGTTTGTAAATAATGAAGATATGGAGAATGCCTGAATATATTTGAAAATATTTGAAGAAAACAAAATTAATATCCGAAGTTGTTATTTGTTTTATCCGTTGCTAAAGTCGTCCGAAAGTGTGCATAACTATCTAGTCAACCTAGACTAATATGTCTGCATCGTAGGAATTATGAAACTCAATGGATGACTGAGTGTACGGATATAGGAAGGATGAGAGACAAGAGATGAGTGTGGACATACGCTTACCGGGTCGTAGCAATTTGGCTAAGCGACAAATTTTCCCAATTTACTCAGTCTATGAACAAACGAAACTACGTAAACACTAGATCCATATTCGGGAAATTCTGAAGTATATTTGGGAATACTGGGATATTCCCATATTTCGACATCCGTCTAGTCGACATGCCAATTATTCCATCATATTTATCAGATAAGTAATCGAGATTAAATATACTCCTCACTTCAGCAAACGCTTGATTCCGAATCTCCAACGAGTTTATCTACAACGGTATTTTATTTCGAAACATTCGCACTTCTTACTCGTATAGTGTCCACACTCCAAAATCCAGAGTACACACTGTCTAAATAATGGACATTATAAATGGAACCGTTTGGTCTGTAAGTGGATGATTTTGAGCTGTCGTAAAATGAAAACATCCAACAAAATATATCAAGAAACCAACACTTCCTTGAAGCTAACCATGTGTCAGTGGATCCTGTATCAAACAATACTCGTATAGTTTGAGTTGGAGATCACACTGATACATTATCATAATTTTGATACACATTAGAAGCTGTTCCCATCATACAATGATTCACAGATTAAAAGTGTGTTTCCTTAGTAATTCAAACCATTTTCTTGGTGATACTGACGCACATTAAACAAGTATTGAATTACCACTAGTAATCAGGTTTGTTTATAGTCAATCCTCTAGTTAATTTGATACATCTTTGTCAATGAAACATGATGAAAACAAAATAAAAGTGACATAAACATCACTACGTTTCAGCGTACTCAAACCGATTTCAATGATTCTATTCATAATTGTCGGTTTCCTACCATATTTATATGGTGAGATTGTGAGAATTCCTCTCCACCCTTTGAAAAGATCTGATTCATTGGTGGGACTTGGTGCGACTTACTTTAAGCCTTCAACGAGAAAATGGAAGTATGAATGGAATAAGCAGAATACATCTACACCGGAACAATTGATTAATTATGAAAACGTAAGTGTATCAATCATGTTCATAGTATGAAATCCAACTTAATGTATATCTAATAAGCAACATGAAATATGACGACTTTCCTTCTTGTGTTTGAAATAAACACAGTGGACTATTTTCCAAAAGTAACTACGATGACACAGCGACGTAGAAGTTGAAGTTATGGTGTTTAACAGTTGAAGTATGCCTGTGAAAATCGATACAACGGAATATTGCTCATTGATATAGTTCTCAACAGGAAAAGTATCATAGATTCATTGAAAAATCCGGCAATTTAATCACCGATACAAATAACAAAATATCATGACCAGAAGTGCATATTATCGGAAAGTTATTTCAAATTAAAAGAATTTTTAAAGTATAGAAGAATAATTATTATTTGCATATCACATTGTCTAAATGTTGAATGCGAAATAATCTTTTAATTTAGCTTCAGTATTATGGTGAGATATCAGTGGGAACTCCACCTCAAAAGCTACGAGTATTGTTTGATACAGGATCCACTGACACATGGTTAGCTTCAAGGAAGTGTTGGTTTCTTGATATATTTTGTTGGATGTTTTCATTTTACGACAGCTCAAAATCATCCACTTACAGACCAAACGGTTCCATTTATAATGTCCATTATTTAGACAGTGTGTACTCTGGATTTTGGAGTGTGGACACTATACGAGTAAGAAGTGCGAATGTTTCGAAATAAAATACCGTTGTAGATAAACTCGTTGGAGATTCGGAATCAAGCGTTTGCTGAAGTGAGGAGTATATTTAATCTCGATTACTTATCTGATAAATATGATGGAATAATTGGCATGTCGACTAGACGGATGTCGAAATATGGGAATATCCCAGTATTCCCAAATATACTTCAGAATTTCCCGAATATGGACCCAATATTTTCATTTTATTTAAGTCAGTGAGTTGTGCAATAAGTAGAGTTAGATTCGTATATATTAAATTCAGATTTTGTTTAATTTAATCATTCCGTTTTGAATATCACTCAACTGAGAAAAGCTTTATTAGAATATTTTTCTTTTGGTATTTGGTTGTCAACGGTAGTTCAAGGTTTTTAAGGTAACCAAGTTGTTCTGAAGATATATTTCGTGAAAGTTATCTGAGATGATGGATGTTGTTTAGAAGCAATCAAATGGAAACATTGAGACACCACAGCCTTACTCTGTTCGAATTTTAATTACATCAGTTTTAATTGTTGTCACGAAAACATACAAATTCGTCTTGTGTGTATTGCCAGTTATTTGATGGTGAAGTTTCAATTAATGTGCTTAACATGTTGACTGTAGGTTTATATTTCCACATTAGGTTACGATTTACCAAAAGAAGTGTGACTAATGTCAGTGATAACATCAAATTATAATGTCTCGGCTCACTTAACAATGATTCTAATGCAAAAGTGGATTGATGTATTTAGACGAGCGATTGACAAAATATACCTTCCCATGGACGATGGAAGTATTGTATTTATCGACTGTATATTTAATTGTGACTAGAAGTCTTTCATTTGATTTTTATCTCGTCAATATCTATTCACATCCTCATATTTTATGCATCCGTATGAGTACATTTTATGTTGTTAATCGTTTTGTTCCAGTTTTATTTGAAATTTATCTTTTAAAAAAAATATTCAGTCTTCATTGATCTTCTCATAAATAATGCACGAGTGCATCCGAAGTTTACAACACTGATTCCTTAGTTTTTATGAAAATGTACATTCTGTGAATTTTTTTGAAAGAAGCTATGTTGATCGAATCTGTGAATGGTAAACAAGGACATTTCATAAATACTATTCAATATTTTATGGATATTTTATGGTTTAATGAACTACTATTTTAGACGTTCATTGTTTTAATTCAAAATGATCGGTAATAATGCTCGTCAGGTATCATGTTTGTGTATTCATCAACAAGTACTCATATTTCTTTCTGTGTTGGTGTTTTACTTAGTGAATTTTGTTACCCTTTACATGGATAGTGTAAATCGACACATTAAAATGAGTATAATTTAAATGCCGAACAGTCATGAAACAGGGTGATTATACACTTTGACTTATTCACGTATCAGGTGATAGCGTGACAACATTGTTGATTTCGGTTGGTGTGACGTTTTGTAGTAATATATTTTTACAGTGGAAATGATATGAATGACAATAAAATGGATTTATTACTTCGTTGTAGGGAAAATGGGACTTCGTTCGGTGGTGAAATGGTACTTGGTGGTGTTAACCCTGAATATTTTGAGAGAGATTTGGAATATATGCCGACCGTAAACAACAATATATGGGCAGTTAGAATGTCAAGGTAGTGTTTGATGAAGTTCACTGAGATATGTACATCTCAATCGCTTTCGGAAAGTGCAAATTAACTTGTTGGAAAGTTTGTTTGGTGGAGTGAAGTTATATATTGTTTTATTTGTCTAAATGAGGTGAAGCCGGAAAACTGATATTATTTGAACTGTTTTACGTATTTGCATAACTAAAGAACATTTGATTTCGAAACTCTTGAGAGATTTTTTCTCGATGGACAATGTATATATATATTTGAATATTGATTTACGAGAAGTGTTTAAAGCAGAGCTAACCTCGTGATTAGGTTTCCATGGTCTAGTACTGTAAGATAAAATCCATGTTTCTTATTGACTACGCTCATGATGAACGTAGTGCGTGGTCTGAGTATTTGGGAGTTAATGTAAATCAACGGGCTTCTTCATCAACCTATTAAAATAAATCAATATAATTTTTCTTGGTAATGTATGAAAGGAGAATAGATCACGCTCATCAAGCTTTATAAATGAATGCCGCAAGATGTGACTTGACATCGAATTGACTAATTTTTCTGAAGTTACTATAGAGGATTTCTGTGGTGATCCATGTAGGAAGGTGAACTTCTGAAATCTAGAGAGACTTCCTTTCCTCACCAACTCGAACACACATCAGTCAAATACACTGAGCCAATCAAGTGATCCCTTTCTATTCACCGATCATATATCCAACTGAGTTATTAGTCTGGACAGTGCTTCATATTACGGTTACCATTATACTTGTTGACAAGTTGCAATACCTATTTGCGACACAACTTCAGTTATTTGGCAAGCTCACAGGTAAACCTGTTTCAAACGATGTTGTGTGAAGTGTTGCCAACTTCTTACTTGAAATGAAAGAACACGGTCACACTAAAAGTGAAATGTATGTGCTCAATCTGTCAGTGAGTTCAAACTATGACGATAATATTTCAGTTCATGAAAGTATTATAATTGGAGATATAATTATTAAGTGAAGATGACTGTTGGATGAATGATACACTGAATGGTTTATAAATAAGTCTGTTTATGATCTAGTCTGGTGTTTCACAAGAGAATTTACAAAGCGGTTACATTTATTCAACTTTCCTACTATTTGTATTTTGCCACTTTCATATTTCTTCTTATTTACAACTGTTATTTTGCAACTACATTATGTAACGTTATTTGCTTCTGGAATGATTTGTGCTTGTTTGTCAACTCACCCTCGATGTAGTTCATGTATATCGCTAGAATATCACATTTGAAGTGTCATTTTGCTCAGAATTTCTAACAAGTTAACAAGTATTTATGATCTTCATGCAACAAATTGCTAGGGTTGATTACGTTTTTAAACTGTCAATTCAGTTCTTCCCATATCCATTATTGTTCCTTAGTTATGCTATTGTGTAGTAGTAAGTAGTTCATATTATCAACGGACATTTTTGAACGTATTTCTCACAGAGTCGGTTTATTGGTTCGTGCGATATACCTAAATATTTACAGGTGCGCTAGGCATTTCATCCATTTTATTGCTGTAATTGTATTTCTCCACAATTCTCAGGTAATTTTATTTATTTCACGTGTAGCTCGATGTAATTCAATTTATTTGCAACAACTTCCAAATTTAGCGTTGACTAGCTCACAGTTCATTTTTCGATGAATGACGTTATTCGGGTTTGTCAAAGGTCATTGATTCTACCTAGTTGATCATTTATTATACATATTGTTTCTTGTTTGGGTGTTCAGAGGACTCAACGTTGATTGTGGTATGAGCGGCTGCTCATTCCTTGAAGTCCTCACGATTTGACGTCTATAATTACTACTGTTCATGTCGTCTTGCCATTATTAGTAACGTATTTAACAGATAAATGTCTTGTTTTTATTTTGGCATTTCACACGTGACTCACTTGTTTGGTGAGAAATCAAGAGTTACACTGCCTTGAATGCGGATGTCATTAGGAATATCAACACCAACAAATAGACTAATTCGTTCAACGAACTGTATCAAGAATGAGATGTATGATCATTATAAGTCGCTAAACAAAGTTGATTTAAAAAGTGTTTCAATAACCTGACTCAGTGTTCGTTTTTCAAAATAAACTGCTTTTGTTTATTTTTTTTTGGGTAGTTCTACATCTTGCTTTTTTAAAAATGTTTTGATGTACATTCAGCTTGATGATAAATGATACTGAGTTTTGCAATGGATGTACTGCTTTTATTGATACTGGGACATCAACGATTATTGGTGGAAGAGAGCAAGTGACAAGAATCAACACAATGCTTGGTATTTCCTATCAATTTGGTAGAAGAAATTTGCTTGACTGTAAACGAATCGACATGCTGCCTCCTATCGAGTTTATCTTTCGTAAAAAGAAGTACATATTGGAACCACGAGATTATGTTATTAAGGTGAATGACTTTTTTAGATCAGTTTGGTTATATATTGTGTATTCAGTGTGTTCACTTTCACAATTTTAAGTCAGTTCGACGGAAATAAAGCTTGCAAAATACAGAATAATATAATGACTTTAGTTAATCCTATTGTGTAATTCCAGTTATTTAGACGGTGCAACAGATGAATCAGAACTACAAAAATTCCCTTTAGAATGCACACATGTTGGAGGTTTCAACAATAATATCATTGTTAACAACGTGTATAACAATTCTTGTACAATGTAAAATTTACTAGTCGAACCGCTTCTTCTAAATTCAAGCTGAATCCATGTGTATAGATTCAATTTTTCTGATATCGAACGATCACCAGATATTTGAAATTTATTAACTGTTAAGGACAGTTAATTATCGGTTTAAAATGAAGCTGGTAAAGTTAGCTTTCAGTGTATAATGTATTAATAGAAGTTATAATTGACAAGGCAGTGAGAGTTTACTACTTAATAACAGTTTCCTTTCTTTGCAATGGGAAATGCAAAACTGTTTACTAATGGAAATACTTTCCTAGGTTTATAATTGATCCTAGAAAATTTCACTAAAAGCGAAGTTTAAATTGATATTTAAATAATTCAATATGAACTACTGTTGTGGTAGAAAATATGAACTACACACTTTCACACTCACAGATAACTTATACCATTCTATAAATGTGAAAGCAAATAACAGAAGAGAATAATAAGCATCTAGTCTTTAATCCTTCTTAAAAATACTATTTCAACTAATAAGAACAAAACAATTTACTTCTGTATTGTTGTCTTCCTCATTTGATTACAGGAGGACTTTTGGTTTAAAATAGTGTGTTCGTCACCTTTTGACATTGATGATTCTTTACCACCGAATTTTTGGATTCTCGGTGACGTTTTTATGAGAAGATTCTATACCGTATTTGATTTCGGTCAGAAACGTATTGGATTAACTTATGTTTTAAATAAGAAGAATGAAACAAGAATTTAATTAAACAGTAATATGTTGCTAAAATATAGAAATTACAATTGTGTGTACAACAGTGAATGAAATATAAATACAAAATTTATAGCAAATTTGAATTCAATAAATTATTAAGAGATTCCTCATACTGAGAATTTTTCGTAGTATCTGTCTTTTAATTCTGTTAATTATTTAGTATTTCGAATATGCGTTTTTATTAGTGTACTGTCAATGTGTTTTCTTGTTTATCACTTACGTATTGAACGTCTGCCTGAATTACATACGAGCATAAATAAAGATTTGTGCTCCGATTTGGCTCTTGTGCCAATCCCTGTTTCATTTGTATGTATATCCGCTTGCTCTGTTTACTAACACCACTGAATTTTGTATTAGAATCCTTACGTAACGTGAATATCATGTTTAATAAACAAGTGGTTACACTGTACACTGTATACGAACGAATTTCAACAAAGTTATACCTTTCAAATGCATTATTACGGTGTATGGGAATGTACATATCGACAACGTAAGCGCGAAACCCACATTTGTATCCCATATACAAATAATGGCTGTTTTATTAATTGTAGTGCTTTTAAAAGTTATGGTACAGTGAAAGAGCTAGTTCTTTGAAAAACATCTAGAATGCATTTCATTCTTACTTTCTAACAGGCGTGGTCCATTATCGTAATCCTCTTCTTTTCCTTCATACATTGCAGCAGAGGAATATTATACTTATGGGAAAGGAAATTGATAGGTTGGGATGGTATTGAATCTGCATTTTCACATGAAAACTGACTGAATCGCCCAAAAAACCATGAAAAACAAACAGCGTTACTGTACGATTAGACTCTAAAGATACGTTAACGAATACAAACGAATTCATCTGATCAGTAGACTATGCAGCTTGAAGAAGTGAATCATGCTAAAGAACCCCCTGAAGCGAGTTAAGGAAGATGTTTTGCACCTTAAAACTCAACCTACTAGTGTTACTTTGATGATCATTTTCACATTCGACTTCACAATTTTCTGTTTGTTCCCATATTCTCTAGGATGAGAAGTAGAGCATTCATAAACCACTTGACACGTTTTTGTTTGCCGAATAATATAGACGGTAACAATGATTCTAATAATAAATTAGAAACATAATGTCATATCTCATTATCTGAAGTGCGAACCTCTATTAATTGTCAAAATATTCAACTAGCATCATTACAAAATCGAAACCAAACTGAGTAAAATCTGTAAGTAATTAGAATTCTCGTTTAGGGTCATGGTATTTTATAGAATTTTTTTTTTCACATGGTCATCTACAGTTTACTTCAAGGTTCTTGCTTTGAAATCAAATGACTAAATATTACAAAGGATTATTTAGCACATGCTAATACGCAAAATAAGACTTTATACTCAACAAAACATCCGGCACCTTGCCCATGTAAGTTTCACTCAATCATGGTTGATATTTATAGTAAAGTGTCTATTACCTCAAAGGAAAAAAAATTATCATTATTATATAGTAATGTTAAGTTAACATCAATACTTAAATCACCTACTAGTATTACTGGCCATTCACCTTCAATGGTCGGTCTAATTGAAGATGCCGGTGATAGTGGTCAATCTCAAATGGGTGGAATGCAGTTTGACTGATGTACGTTCGAACGATTGAATGCAAGCTAACCGGAAATGTAATGTTAGGGCTAGGAGGCATTTTTCAGCAAATGTATAAGAATTTTCTATTGAACAACTGTTATTTTCATGAAATGATAAGGTGCACAATGGAAGTGATTACTTTGAAATTCAAGAAGTAAGTAAAACAAACCATTCATACAAGATAAACAAGAATCAGATTACCACAAATAAACAGCTTGATTTGCAATATATTGATCAGGTTGGTTGAAGATGTTTATGTCAATAATGGCATGATGAAATAAAACCAGAGTAACACGAACACCATTATCTACCAGACTATGAATGGGAATTCAACGAGTCTACTCATAATTCTCACGTTTCGACCGCATTTACATAGTGAAATTGTGAAAGTCCCTCTCTACTAGATGTAAAGACGCGCTTCACGATTTGGAGTTCACAAAAGTTATTTTATGTCTTCGACGAGAAATCGAGGGGATGAGTGGAAGCATAAAAAATATCAAAATCGAAACCACTCGTTAATTTTAGAAATGTACGTGTTACAGTCAGATTGTTAGTCTCAAACTTTCTTTCCTTCAAGTAATGTGCGTTGATCTCATAATAAGTAGATGCCACTCGTTAATATGTGCATGAAATAGACTAAGTGGATGTTTCCCACAGATGTAACTATGACACAGTGATTGTGTAGTAGAAGGAGTGATGATTGAATTGATAATATCTGTTTAGAGATATGAGTAAGATAGAATATATTTTACTCGCTTCCCACCAACTGAAATTCTGTCACATACTGGTGAAGTTTGTAGACATTAAAATCAGTTATGGAAATAAAAACATATTCCGATCAACTGTGATTCGCAAACGGAGAAATAACTTCATATCTAGCGTTAGATAACAAAAACAAATCGATTGCTCTGACACTAATGTCACACTATCTGATGTTCGTGCTTCAATTATCCTTATGTTAAGATTTAGTATTATGGTGAGATATCAGTGGGAACTCCACCTCAAAAGCTACGAGTATTGTTTGATACAGGATCCACTGACACATGGCTAACTTCAAGGAAGTGTTGGTTTCTTGATATATTTTGTTGGATGTTTTCATTTTACGATAGCTCGAAATCGTCGACGTACGTAGCAGATGGTTGAAATTTTCATGTCAGTCATCTGGACAATGATTTCAATGTACTATGCAGTGTAGACACCATAAATTTCTTCAGGGATCTGAGTTCCAGTAAAGCAATTCATCGTTAGCATCTTTTCTATTATGCGGTCGTTTGACTCCAATATCCCATACTTAAATCGTTTGAATGAACGTATGATTGAATCATTCTGTCGATATGTTTGTAAATAATGAAGATATAGAGAATGCCTGAATATATTTGAAAATATTTGAAGAAAACAAAATTAATATCCGAAGTTGTTATTTGTTTTATCCGTTGCTAAAGTCGTCCGAAAGTGTGCATAACTATCTAGTCAACCTAGACTAATATGTCTGCATCGTAGGAATTATGAAACTCAATGGATGACTGAGTGTACGGATATAGGAAGGATGAGAGACAAGAGATGAGTGTGGACATACGCTTACCGGGTCGTAGCAATTTGGCTAAGCGACAAATTTTCCCAATTTACTCAGTCTATGAACAAACGAAACTACGTAAACACTAGATCCATATTCGGGAAATTCTGAAGTATATTTGGGAATACTGGGATATTCCCATATTTCGACATCCGTCTAGTCGACATGCCAATTATTCCATCATATTTATCAGATAAGTAATCGAGATTAAATATACTCCTCACTTCAGCAAACGCTTGATTCCGAATCTCCAACGAGTTTATCTACAACGGTATTTTATTTCGAAACATTCGCACTTCTTACTCGTATAGTGTCCACACTCCAAAATCCAGAGTACACACTGTCTAAATAATGGACATTATAAATGGAACCGTTTGGTCTGTAAGTGGATGATTTTGAGCTGTCGTAAAATGAAAACATCCAACAAAATATATCAAGAAACCAACACTTCCTTGAAGCTAACCATGTGTCAGTGGATCCTGTATCAAACAATACTCGTATAGTTTGAGTTGGAGATCACACTGATACATTATCATAATTTTGATACACATTAGAAGCTGTTCCCATCATACAATGATTCACAGATTAAAAGTGTGTTTCCTTAGTAATTCAAACTATTTTCTTGGTGATACTGACGCACATTAAACAAGTATTGAATTACCACTAGTAATCAGGTTTGTTTATAGTCAATCCTCTAGTTAATTTGATACATCTTTGTCAATAAAACATGATGAAAACAAAATAAAAGTGACATAAACATCACTACGTTTCAGCGTACTCAAACCGATTTCAATGATTCTATTCATAATTGTCGGTTTCCTACCATATTTATATGGTGAGATTGTGAGAATTCCTCTCCACCCTTTGAAAAGATCTGATTCATTGGTGGGACTTGGTGCGACTTACTTTAAGCCTTCAACGAGAAAATGGAAGTATGAATGGAATAAGCAGAATACATCTACACCGGAACAATTGATTAATTATGAAAACGTAAGTGTATCAATCATGTTCATAGTATGAAATCCAACTTAATGTATATCTAATAAGCAACATGAAATATGACGACTTTCCTTCTTGTGTTTGAAATAAACTAAGTGGACTATTTTCCAAAAGTAACTACGATGACACAGCGACGTAGAAGTTGAAGTTATGGTGTTTAACAGTTGAAGTATGCCTGTGAAAATCGATACAACGGAATATTGCTCATTGATATAGTTCTCAACAGGAAAAGTATCATAGATTCATTGAAAAATCCGGCAATTTAATCACCGACACAAATAACAAAATATCATGACCAGAAGTGCATATTATCGGAAAGTTATTTCAAATTAAAAGAATTTTTAAAGTATAGAAGAATAATTATTATTTGCATATCACACTGTCTAAATGTTGAATGCGAAATAATCTTTTAATTTAGCTTCAGTATTATGGTGAGATATCAGTGGGAACTCCACCTCAAAAGCTACGAGTATTGTTTGATACAGGATCCACTGACACATGGTTAGCTTCAAGGAAGTGTTGGTTTCTTGATATATTTTGTTGGATGTTTTCATTTTACGATAGCTCGAAATCGTCGACGTATGTAGCAGATGGTTCCAGTTTTCATGTTAGATATCTGGATGGTGAGTTCTCTGGATTTTGGAGTGTGGACACTATACGAGTAAGAAGTGCGAATGTTTCGAAATAAAATACCGTTGTAGATAAACTCGTTGGAGATTCGGAATCAAGCGTTTGCTGAAGTGAGGAGTATATTTAATCTCGATTACTTATCTGATAAATATGATGGAATAATTGGCATGTCGACTAGACGGATATCGGAAGATGGAAACATTCCAATTTTCCCGAATATACTAGCTAATGGTGTGAATATGGACCCAATATTTTCATTTTATTTAAATCGGTGAG